TTGCAGCTAATGATAAGAGGCCAGCAATATTTTCTAGGGAAGGAATTCAGTTAAACATGAACATCCAGTATGTAACAGATGATGGGGTTAATTCCAGATGTTCTTTTAGTAGAACAACAGTGAACTATTTACTGAGCACAGACAACTACCCCGCAATTGTCTGCTTCCTTTGCTTTAACTGTGTTAAACAGTTTTTTTACTTGCGCAATTTTGTGACTATTTCTATTTTTTTTAACCAAAGATCTGACAACTTATACTGCTGCAAGGGTTGGGCAGAAACGCATGAAAATAATTATTGTAACCCCTATGGAAGGGCAAAGCATTTGTACATTTAAAGAAACAGTTTCTGTCTTTAGCAAATCTGTCTAAAGCAGTATTCTCGATATAACTTCCTTAATGCTACTGCTACTAGATTATTCATAATTTACGTGAAACTGCTCTTTTAAATATGCAGTAGTTTACATAGGTACGCTGAGGGAAGGTCTGACAAGTCAATGGATTATAAGCGTAACACAGTATGACAGTGTTAAAGCTGAACATATTTTATAAACAAAACAAACAAAAATAAAAACGTAACATATACTAAAAGTTAAAGTGGACGTTCATGCTAGCCATTAGCAGTCACTGTGTTTATTTGCTTTAAACAAACCAGTCCAACAAAACGTCTTGAAGTCCAGTTGGTGTCAAGTGAGAGTTCAACTCAATAATTTAACCTTGGTTTTCAGAATTACGTCTAAAACACTCAGCTGAAGAAAAAGCCGCATGGCTAAAAAATAATTCATCCACAAACTGAAATTCGTTGGCGAAGGAAAAGCCGGCAACAGAGATCGTCTATGAAATGTGTGATGCGCGTGTGATACGTGGTATCTGTTACAAACATAATATTTACAACATAATATTATTTCTAAACCTAAAGCGAAATTTAACAAAGGAGTGACGACTGAATAACCTATGATCTAGATTAAATACACCTCAATTGAATTCATAGGACCTTTACCTGACAACCAGAAGGGGCGACAGAGTGAACTATATTCTATGCTGTTCTATGCTGACGTTGTGGAAAGACACCGGAAGTAAACAATGTATCGCACCGCCCCGCAGAAGGACGTGGAGATACTTTTACCTGCGTAAAATTATCGGCTATACTTTACTATGTATGTCTTGCACAGTATATTTAAACGTTTTGCATGCCAAATTTACGCCAATAACCATATGCTTTCCCTTTACTTAAACCTTTAAGCTAATAATAGTTGAATTCTATATGGCTAACTAAAATTATTTTTGCTTCATGTTAAAAAGACCGTTCCTGGTTTAATTTCTTTTCCTTCAATTATCTTTAGTTTTTACCTATAAAATGTCATCTTTGCAGCTTTATTTTCCTCAAAGTACACTATAGACAAAATACACACCCTGTCGTTTATACGCCCATAAATACATACATATATAAATAACTTAACTTTTGTCATTTGGTACCATATAAAGAATTTTAGTTGACGTCACAGAGCAGCTTTAAAACAAGCTTGACACAAGAAACAATACATTTATTTCTAAGTACTGCAGATAAGAATTATTTTGCAATAAAATGAAAAAAACATACAGGGAAAAACTGGATTTCTTTGGCAGGTAGATTCAGTTTCCGTGTACAATCCATAGTTATAGCATTCAATACACTTCATGCGTCTAATGTCAGTGGATGTCTGTTTCAGCCATGTGATAAACTAACTCACTCTTTATGTCCTCCGAGTTACTGGGTTCGGTGGCCAGCACCGTGTCGACAGGGAAAGACAAATATAAACTCTGACTCTTCAGTTTTTTTGTTGAAGGTGAGTCTCCTGCACTCAACAAAGGATCCTTAATTTTAAAGTTCACTGGAGGCAAAACAGATGTCCCGTTCTTAGCCTTCCTCTTTTTTTCCTGTTTATAGGCTGCATTCATATTGGCTAAAACCTAAACAAGGGACACACACTTTTAGGCACAAACATGAGAAAGATACATTTTAAAATTAATTATTAAATGCAATTTCAAAGTTTACAATGTTTACATCATGCTAAAACCGAGAACTGAATAAAAAAAAAAAGAAAACACATGGGAAATGAACCCGACTAATGACAATCAACCTTCGATGTACTCAAGACAGCTTGACATCATCATGACAATGTTCAGGCAATAATCTTGTTTGTTTTTTTTCAACAAATAAATAAAAATACCTACCAGCTGTTTAACACAGTTCTGCTGCTCTTTCATTACTGTCAAACAAGGTGGGGCCTTGTCCTTAGTGGAAAACAAATCTTGCTCTTGTTCATCAAAAGTCTGGTGGAAAGAAGACAACATTTCTGACAAATAAACACCACCAAAACATTTAGTTGATGTAATTTCCCATCTTGAAATCAATAAAATATATCTGCCTATCTATTGATTTAAAAATAGCTCATAGTCCATTTCTTACCTCATTAGGTAAATTGGCTTTTCTATTTAACATGAGGGAATACGGTGTGAACTTGGTTGTGGGATTGGTGGAGGTTCGAAACACAAACAGCACAGGGTCAAGGAAGTCATCCCATTCTCTCTGCTTCTCTGTGACCATCTGCACCACAGCGTCCTTCAATAATGGATTGGTGCAGTCGTGGAGAGGGTTGAGATTAGGCTGATCCTGAGCCGAAACCTTCTGCTCAATTCTCCATCTGTCACACAGTACCTTGGTCACCTAGAAAACAAACCTGACAAACTGACAAAACTGTATCACTGCTACAACCTCTGTTCAATCTATTCAGCATTTTTTGTCTTTACAACTCACCTCTTCACAAAATTCAGGACTTTGTGCACAAACTAATGTTTTAGGAGCACCAAACCTAAATGAAAAGAAACATAATTAATCAAAATTTAATGAGTCAACTCATAAAAGGCATTTGGACAACATTTTGCTGCCTGCTGATTTTATCTTAATATAAAATAAATTTAATAAAAATTAATTAAAAAGAAAATTCCAACATTTAACAAGTGCTAAGATAAAATAGGACATACAATTAAATTGAATATAGACAAATTAATTCAGTCAGGTTTAGTTAGATCAAAATGTCTAAGGACTCTCCTCCAACCAAAAATAAAACAGATAACAAAAATGTCAAATATTTAGGAAAAAGAAAACAATTACCAAAATGAATAACATCATTGTAAACAAACATGGTCTGTTACCTGTAAATACATTTGGAAATAGATCTCGCTACAGAGAGGGCGTCTGCTTTTGGCATGGGAAAGGCTTCTGGCCATTTACTAAAATAATCAATGACGACAATAACATGAGTGTTGCCCTGTTGGGTGTCAGGGAAAGGTCCTTGAGGAGGAAGAAAAACAGGCTGTTGAAAAAAATGTTACAAGGCAAGATGGTTAATTATTCCTTTCACTAATGCAAACAACCTATGATGTCAACACCAACAACTTCCCACGGCCCATCCACTTTTATTGGACGGACAGTCCGTGCCCGGTTTTTACTCCTCTCTGTGTGTTGACAGGTGTCACACACTTTAATCTGAAAAGATAGAAACATCTTTTGTGAAAATTAGCAACAAGTGGGACTGGCCCTATTGTTTGACATCGGAAAGCCATGTACCCAGTCCACCACATCTTTGATGATACCAAGCCAGTAGTACTTGCTCTGTATCCGGTGCACAGTCTTCTTCTGGCCCAAATGATGGCCAATGTCATTGAAGTGGCAGTCGAGGAAAATCTGCCTTTTTCTTTCAGACTCGATCACCACCTCTCTCTTTTCCTCTTTTTTTGGTCCCACATAGTACAGTGTACCATCTGAGAACAAGGACAAAGTAAAGGATATATAATGGAGACAGAGTGAATAGCCAAACATACCCAATTCACTGGTTCTACTATTAGTTCCATAATTAATAAGTAACTAGATTCTTCATTAACTTAAACTATTTATATGTATGCTGGTCAGCTGACTTTGAGCGAGTTGTACATTTCTCAATAGTAACGTAACGGTTGTTCTACCACTCTGTAGGTCTGAAAGGTTAACTTGTGTTGCGGGCGTTACAATTGCCTGATGAAGCCACCTAAAACTGTCCCGGATACACCAGTGGTCAATTACTATACAAACACTACTACTCTATTGCCAAAATAATGTATACTTGTAAAATATAAGCAAAAGAAAGATGTTAAACTATAACAGTTCTATTTGCCAGGATAGCTGCGAAAGGACTGTGGTTTGTACAAAAACTCACTGTCAATGATGAATTTCTGAGCGTATCTTCTGAGGTTCTTCTTTCTCAACGGATCCATAGTCTGTGGAAAACAGCCTTTCGCGACAAATGTGTAAATGTCACCGAGTTTGTTGGAGCTGGACTCAACTACCTCCTCCTCCGCTACTTGTAAAGACTCCACGCTCAACATTACCACGAAGTTTTCCAAATTCACAGCTCATTGATATAGAGGTTCTTTACTTTAAACCATATTTTCAATCCCGGTGACATATGTTCTTAACGGAATCATGATATATATATATCACGTAGTAAGACAAAAACAAAACAAAGCGTGACCACGCTCTGACGTCTCTTCAACTTCTTCCTCCTCATGCTCTTCTTTTTCTTTGGTTTAGCCGCTACCATTTTTAATTAGCGCCCTCATTTGGCCGAATTCAAAACCTCCCGCTCATTATATAATTTAAAAAAATATTACAAATCAGAGAGGTTAAATTAGATTAGTTATGGTAAACTTCATTGTTTCCTTTGGCTGTGCTTGCGTGTGGGTGTTTTAAAAATCAAAACTCGTTTAAACATACGGTATAAGACATGTTTCTTTATAGATTTCAAATAGTTTAAATCTAGATTTAACCGCAGCATAACGAAATGTGAGCGAAGGAAACATTAAAAGACAATAACAACGAAAAACAATGTAGAACGTGAAGCTAATTCTTCCATATTTACAGTCATCTTGTACTTCTATCTGTTACCAGGATATGGCAGTAGAATACTTGTATAACTAAAGCAAGAAGAAAACGAAGAAGAGGAGGAGGGGAGGAGCAGAGAAAGAGAAGAACGATTATTATTACTGTTTATACTATTGGTTGATAGCTTTACGCCTGTTCATATGTTATATTATTTCGTTGCTGATTATTATTTATGAACTATATTGTAGAGCGAAAGTAAAATGGACGACGAAGACGTGAAGTGTGTTCAGTTTTACATTTGTGACTGTTTTATCACAGACAATATTTTTCTGCAGAAATACAAACTACACGTTCGCTTTGTATCAGAGCAACAGTTCAGACTGGACTATGAACCTGTGAGTAATTACTGCATTCGACAAAAAAATGTTATTGTTTTATTTTATTTTTATAGATTCAGTTTTTAATTGAAGTTATCTGTTCATACAGCTGCTCAGGACGCTTAGCTGCGACACTGAACAACAGTTTACGGAGGTGCTGAATGAGGTACGTTAAAGCCAGGAAAGGTAACCTTTAGGAGAAAGTACATGTGAAAACTCGCATGCCCCTATGGAAAAAGATGTTAACTCTACAATGAAAAGTAAAAACAAACAAAACAAACTGTCCATCTAGGTGTGGACACATAGATTGACAGTTTGTTTTGAGGCAACATATCAACAATTAATTCATAGCCATATCACGATTCCAGAGAAATATTTTTGATAAATAAAATGTTTCATTGTGACGTTTTGATTTTCTGCAGCTTCTCTACAATGAGTTTGCTGTGTTTAGATTTTACAGGAAGTAGACAGGCGACGGCGTTTCAGTGCCACATCAGCTGAGAGATCTGCAGTTATTAAAGACATTTACCAGCCACTTCATCCTCAACTCTACTGTCTTCAGGTGTTCACTGCATCACTGTCTGCCAAGCCTGGCATTAAATGTAGCTCATTTACACTAACCTCACTGTGACATCTCTCTGCTCTGCTGCGTCTCCTCTCCCCAGGAATCTTACCTTGCTCCAAAATTCAAAAAGATTATAGAGTATTGTCAACGCAGTGATGCCAGTCAACAGGGCCTTCTGGACTTACTGGAGGAAGAGGCAGGTCAGCTCAACATATTTGGTTTATGTCTCCCTGTTGATGAGATTTTTCGTGAAACAAATGCTAACTGTATAGCACAACCCTTAAAGACACACAAAGGTTTTGCATTAAAATGTCTTTACGTATTGAAAACAAACTGAGAATGCTGTAGTTCATTGTAATTGTACACAGCAACAAAAGCATCAATATGAAGGAAGCAACACTGATGGAGTTGTCAAAACAACAGAACATTGAGCTTTAAGCAGAGAAAAAAATATTAAATTTACCAAAAATACCAGTTGAAGTAGGTGTACACACTGTACTTGTTCATTCTAAGAATGCATAACTGGTTTATTCTTGCTTTTCTGTTGTAGCACCGAGAGTGTACCGTTTCCCCGTTTTTGAAAGAGGTTTCTGTGAACAGCTGATGGAGGAGTTGGAAAATTTTGAACAGTCTTCAGCTCCTAAAGGAAGACCCAACACCATGAACCATTATGGAGTAATGTATCCAATAGAATTAGGTTTATATGCGTACTGTATATGATAATTGAAAAAAAAAAAACAATCACACAAATCACACTGCATATTTCTTACATTGAGTGTTTATTATTTTTCTTCCGTTTTCCCTCTTCTCAGATTCTTCTTAATGAACTGGGTTTTGATGAGGGTTTCTTCACCCCACTCCGTGAGCAGTACCTACGTCCACTCACTTCTCTGCTGTACCCAGACTGGGGGGGTCGCTGTCTGGATAGTCACAAGGCGTTTGTGGTGAAATACGACATGAATGAAGACCTGGACCTGAGCTACCACTATGACAATGCAGAGGTCACTCTGAATGTTTCTCTGGGCAAAGACTTCACTGATGGAAACCTTTATTTTGGAGACATAAGACAGGTGACTTTACTTTAAGCTCCAAGTGAAAATACTACTATAATGTAGTATTCATCCCAAAAAATACCACTTCCTCTACAAGTGAAATTATTTCAGGAATTTTAAGCAAACTACCTAGCATTTGACTAATTTGTTGTAGCCCTGATGTGAGTTCTGTTTAATTTTAATATTTATTGTGGTTAGTTGCATTCCCATATAATACAATAAAACTAAAATTTTCTGTGACACTTATGTATTACAGGGTGAACCTTTGGTCTCACTTTTGACCAATGTTTGTCGCCACCTACAGATTCCTTTATGTGAAACAGAGTGTGTAGAGGTAGAACACAGAATGACAGAGGGCCTTCTCCACCGGGGGCAACACATGCATGGGGCACTGCCCATTTCCTCTGGCCAGCGCTGGAACCTCATCATCTGGATGAGAGCCTCACAGGAACGAAATAAACTGTGTCCCATGTGTGACAGGAAACCCACCCTGGTGGAAGGAATGGGATTTGCTGATGGCTTCACCAAACATTCAGATGCTTCCACCTTAGTCTCCTGTGTTCTGACGTGATGTTTATAGTTGTTGCCATGCTTGCTTTGATTAAGATACTCTGTTGTACTTCATTATACATGACTTGCTTTTTTGGAGAGTACACTTTGTGTAGTGGCACCTCTCACCTTCTAGGTATGGTATTTTAATAAAGGCCAATCTAGAGTTGAAGAGCAGTAGTTAAACTTATTTAAGTCACAATAAAAAAAGGTAGGTAGATCCATCCAATCAGTCATTACTGAACCACATGAGCTATACTTGCTGCCTAATGTCAGGCGTACCTCACATTTTAATTTAGTTATAAAATGTGAAATTTTTGCATTTTAAAATCGAAGCAAATAAAACAGTAAAATAGATTAGAGCCTGTGTTGTAGTGCAATAGTGTAGTTATTAACTGCTTTATACTATCGGGCTCCATCTGACTGTTATCCTTTCTCCCACTCTCACACACATGGCTTTAGAATTTAGTATCAGCTGGCATTCTGGGGCATTTGTTCTTTTAGTTGTAAATGGTCAAATTTGTATTAACTTTTTATGCTGCCAGATCTCAAATGCTTCTGCCAGACATAGTGTATTTAAAGATGACACAATATTGGGAATAATAGAATATTTTATTGCATATATATAATTTTTACTGTAATACCAGGTTTTTATTTTTATGCTAAAATTGTATTGTTGCTGGCACAGAAAATCAAACCACAGATCTTAGCATGAAGGATGTAACATCTTGAAACTAAACATTTTACACAGCAACATCTAAACATCAATGGTTTTTGGTTGTTTCTTTTTAGTTCTAATTCAACTGTTGAAGTGCAGTGAGGACTGGAGGAACAGGAGAGAGTGGTTCTTGGGTCAACACTAAAGTGTATCCAAACACAGCAAAAACACAAAGCTGAATGGGTGTGGCAATGTACAAATTTACACTTGACTGTGATGGCTGTGCTGGTTTTACAGGAGATCTCCATAGACCACCACAGTCTTTATCTCAAACCAAACCAAATGCACCAAAGAGAGCAACAAAACTGAGAACCATTTCCATAACCCAGTTGTCTCTGTGCCACGAGGAAATAACGTGGTTAGTGCTACGTACCAATACATACCTAATAAGGAGGCCTCCTGTATACAGTACAATATATAGTTTTCAATGACATACATATATATGTACTGTATATATATATATATATACACACTTTTGTACCAAATAGAACATTTTATACAGATACATTTTCACTTTTATATTACCTTTAAACATTTTTAACATGAAACAAGTAAATCGTTTATTGCCAAGTTAATTCTACAGTCTACAAACAGATTCAAAATCTTCTGAGGGTCACTACAATCAACCACATACTGTATATTAGGAGTCACCAACTATATTTGTCGGAGGGCCAGAATTTCTCTGGACAGACACCAGGGGGGCCGAACACTCAAATAAAATGAAATAAAAATCACGTTTTTGTCTAACATTATTATTTGATATTTATTGTGTAAATCAGTAAGGGGCCAGATTGGATGGTTGATGGTGACTGCTGTATTTGGTCAGCAACTATAATGAATAGACTTAGACTCTATAATGCCATGCATTGGCCAGTTCATAAAAGATGAAGTGCTATCTTTACAATGTGGTCTCGCTGCTCAGATCCCGGGGATGATGGTGGTCCATGTCCGAGTCATAGTCTGACTCCATCTCAATCTTCACCTGGGGCACTGAACCAGCCATGCTACGGCCCATAGGCATGGCTGGAGACGACGGGCAGGAGATCTTCAGGTGCAGTGTGATGCTGAGGAGGTGGAGGGCAGGCTGTGTGTTACAAACACTCACACACAGACACCCTGGGCCAAATACACCAAACTGGGGCAACTAGAAGGAAGCTGGCATTGGTAAATCTACAGCTGCGTACAGTATGCCAGAGCTGAAATAGTGGAGTGCTGGTTTGTTGTCGCAAAGATGAGGATTATTTACAAAAAGGTGTAAATCTGAAGCCTTAGTGCCTAAAGTTTGGGCACATCCAACCTGACTTGTACTTTTCTGCATGAGTATATATATATATATATATAAATGTATTACTCTATATCAGGTATTTATCTTTGGCTAATTATGAGCTGTTCTCATTTAGCTGTTAGCCCACTCATGGAAAAGGTTTCAGCTATCTTTGGATAATTTCAAGTATATTTACTGATAAAAAAAATTAGCTTTTTAACTTATGGGTACATTTTGGCTACTGTTCACGTATTTTGCTTGCTATATAGTTTTTTTATTATTAGTCTTTATTTTATGGCTGCTTTTGTATTGCATAATTGATTTGGTAAATGGGCAAAGACACCTAATATTTAACACACCGCAAACATACCTTGCACCATTCTCAAGTACTTCTCTGCCACTTCTGACTTCTACTTCATTCTTCTTCTAAATCAATTCAGATAAATATTTTGGATTTACCAAGACATATGTACCTTTCATTTAGATATTCTCTATGTGCTACTGCTGCTAACTGATTGGCCAATGGTCACTTCCTAACTATTTCTTTAAAAGCAATGCAGACTTTTGTGGCCAAATTAAGTCATCACATTTCAACCACAGGAATAAAAGTTAGTTCAGGAGTTAGTTCTGACACAAAACATAGTTCCACACTGAACCTGCTGCAGTTTCAGAGAAGAAGAACTCAGGTGATTTACACACGCAGGTGTCATTTGTTTCAAATCAAAGACTTTCAGCATAAGAAGACAAAAGAAACAACCAAAAACTGTGACGTTGTTGCATATGGTTGGATCATACAGTACAAATGTGTTTAGGTCACAGTGGAGTCAGTGATGTCACACATTAAACACTTCATTACACAGTATTTCTATTAGAATCCTACATAGGTTCATCTTAGCAGACGTAAAACATGCGATTGGCTGTTATTTACTACACACTTCCTGCCTCTACATGAACATAAACGTAAAGTAGCGTAACTCGTGTGAGTAGTACACATATATACTTAGCAGCAGATGAGAACATTTACATCGATCTGCATTACCTAGTGCATGGAAAGGAGTCTGAGCCTTTGTCAGAATTCATAAAGTTTTTGGGGCCACAAATTTGGAATAAAGAAATTAAATTCTACCTCTACTTGCAGTTACTTAAATATAGACATTATATACCTTTAATGATTAAAGCATTTTTTTTGTTAGAACTATTTTTTAAAGTTAACTTCTCTTAGTTTTATAGTACCTTTTTACATGCATATACTGTATATATTTTTTTTCGTATTCAGGTTTAGCTTACATTTACGTTTTTAATAGGATGCTCGTTATAGTTAAATTGTACTTAATAAAATATAATTATGGCAAATAAAGTATTTGCAATCCTGGACTGATGTTAGCATTATTTTACAGCTATATTTAAGCTGCTGTATTTTCTTGGTGGCTTTTCACAGTAAAGTGTTACACTTGTGGCTCCATCTTCATTCTTTTATTTTAAGATTGCAGTGGTCTTTAGTTATTTTCTTATATATAATCTAAACTCTATATTAAATCACATTTTATTAAGTTTTTGGTTGTAGCTACATTTGAATTTTATGCTTATCTTTGGCTTTTTTGTTTATTCTCTTTTAAAAACATTATGATTAATATTCCCTACCAGACAGTGACACTGCAGTCGTGACAGAATCAGCTATGGTTTTAGATTTTTTATCAACGTTGCCCATATATTGGATGCTATATTTTTTAGAGCAGGACAACTTATTTGTAAGCTTTCGTTATGTTATGTCCTTCAAGCTCTACGAACATGTATATACTGTATGTCAGTGTGCATATATTTTTTATCAGAGAATGAATTTAAAAAATGTTAAGGTGACTCCATTGTCTCATAAAATCAGGATGATTTTAAAGATTGAGATGTTTTAGGTTCAGGTTTAACCCAGGCTTTCCACAAAGGGTGGTCCACAGTTTGGGAACCACTGGTTTAACCTAAACCACTATATTTGAGGATTTAGGTAAAGTTATGCTTTTAAATGATATTAGAGGTTTGGTATTTACAGTATGTTTGTTCAGTGTTAAAGTGCAGCAGTAGCAGCGGGCTGACAGTACGCTCCCCATTGAGATTCGGCCACATCAGGATAAACCAGGTCTCTGTAGGGGATGTGCAGTTTGAGAACACAGTACCTTCGATCCAGGTCGGAGTCAGAGCTGGGTGAGTGTGTGGAGTAAGCACGGTACTTGTCCTGCACACAAGACAACAAACAACACACTCTGATAAGAAATTCTTGTCATGATAAGGTAACTCTATAGGGGGCAGCAGAAGCTCAAATTTCCCACCTCATCCTCATTGTCATCAGGTTTGGACTTCTTCTCCTTCTCCTTCCCGTTCTTCTTGTCTTCATCCTTCTTCTTCTTTTCCTTCTCAGGCAGGAGGTCGTCCAGCCAGGCCAAGTCGTGCTGAGAGAAGACCATGTCCAGCATCTTTCTGACCAACATCAAACCCAGAATCTGGATGTTTGGTAGAGAAAAGTTAAAAAAAAAGTTTTATTAAGTGTTATAAATAATTATGTAAATTTAGCCGGAGGGCGTCTGTTATTAAAATGTGCTCACACTGATCTAAAATAGCCAATTGTTCTAGAATTGGCACCTCTCATGATTTTCAAAGGCTCTCAGATTAAGAGATCTTCTTCTTTTTCTTTCGGCTTTGTCCCTTTTTCAGGGGTTGCCACAGTTAATCATTGATTTCCATCTCTCTCTGTTCTCTGTATCTTCTACTCTGACTCCAACTATCTGCACATGTCCAAACCATCTCAATCTGGCTTCTCTAGCTTTTTCTCCAAACCTTCCTGTCTGTGTTGACCCTCTAACGACCTCATTCCTGATCCTGTCCATTCTAGTCACTCCTAAAGAGAACAAAAAGGCTCTCAGATTAAGAGATAAAATCTTGATTTCATGCTGTTGAGTTTATCTGCATATTAAGCTTTGTGTGGAATATTTTAATCTTGATAAGATAAACCCAATCTGTACAAGGTGAATTAATTCAGCAGCTCAATCTTTCATCTATACATAATGTGAAAAACAAACAGTTAAAGAAAAATAAGTAAAAGATCTCCCAATTTTAGTTTGTTTGGTCTCATACCATCACAGGAAAGATAATGGCCAAGAAGGTGGATTTGAGAATCCAAAGCACAGCCAGACATGTGATCTGAATCAGAGTAAACAGGTGGACTCTCCTCAGAGGGACATGACGCAGGTAAGAGAAGTCTGGTTGGTGCTTGGCAGGCATCATGTATAACTTTATCCTGTCCCAGAACTGTGGAGGAGCAGGAGGAGCAGATGAGGAGCAGGTGGAAGAGAGATGAGCATTAGTTTTAGGTTAAACAAGGTTAAACACATGCAGACATGTGATATAAATGATTAATTTTAAGCTATTAGAGGGACATTTGTATGCATCAGAGCTTTATTTGACTGTGTTGAATAAGTTAGAGGCAAAGTTAGCATTGAAGAAGAACAAAAGGCCAAACTATTACAAAGTTATACAAAAGAATAACTAGGAACCAGGAACTGTAGAAGTTAACCAAAAAATAGCTGAGATCAAAAACAAAACAAAAAATTAGCAATAGCGAATAACAGGAATAACAACAATATATGGGAAGGCTAGAAAGTGAATGTAAAAATGACAAAAGAGGTGCATAAGAAAATAATCAGTAATAAATGTCTAAAAAAATATAATTTTATGTTAATATACATTTTGAAGGTTTACTGTGCAAGATTTAATATTTACAACTTATATTTATTTATTAGACGTAGGTGTGTTAAACAGGATAATGTGTTGCACCCCGGTGGAAAAAGTACATTACTAAAGTTGCTCCTGTGCTTGACTGGTGGATGTAAACCACTGTCTAAGAGTAAGACAGACCTAAACTGACAACATTCTTCTAGTTTAAGACCCAGAATGTTACTAGACCTGTGTATAATTCCATTAAGCAAGCTAGGGTTAGCTAGGAACGAAAGCAATAAACAACAAACAGCAACAGCCAAATATAATAACTAAATTGGTCCCTGAAAATGGCAACTATTCCAGATAGTATGTTAGTTTAAAAAACGTTGCAACATTTATAAAAGATTAGAATTGTTGTTAATACAACCCAGGGTCTTTTGCACCCATATGATGCAAAAGACCCTAAAACAAAACACAGACCTCAGAACTAAAATGACTGCACATGTGGAAAGCTTTCCTCAGATAGTGGTCTCTGTTTTCTGTATGAACAGTGTAGATGACACATATCACTGTCTGTGCGCTCATTTTCCAGGCAGCTCTAAACAGCCTGCTTCCTGCCTGCCTACTGTCAGAAATACAATAAGTGAGATGTCCTGCTCCGGTGATTCAATTTATTATGATAAACAACTAGAGCGAGCATAGGCTCACAGCACACCTGGATTCCACTGAGGGAGGCGACACCCATGTACAGAAAGACTCCATACAGCACAGGCATGGGGATGAACTGCAGGAAACAAGAGGGAAATGTCTAAACATTTGAAGGTTTAGCAGAAAGTTAAATAAGTGTGTTAAAGCAACAGCTAGTAGCTCTGCAATGCATGAATAGCAAAAGTAAACAAAATAAGTAAAAAAACAGCTTGACAAATATATACTGTATGATTTAAATGTCTTCTAAAGAAAAGTTAAATTAAATTCTCACAAGGTTACGTTTACAAATTTATGAGTAAATTAATTCATTAGACTGTTGCAGACAGCACAGAGGCCTCGTTGGCGCAGTAGGTAGCGCATCAGTATAAATCTGAAGGTCGTGAGTTCGAGTCTCACATGGGGCAAAACATTTAGTGTTTTGCTTGCCTGAAGGTTATCTACATATGTGTGTGGCATCAGGGACTGTTTGCAACATAGACCAAAAACCTGTCAGCAGACTGCGGTCATCAGGTTAATTGTATTTCGATATATATGTACATTTAAGTTAATTATAAAAAAACTGGTAAAAAAATTGGTTGAATAAATAACTCCTTTGGTTCCAAAAATCTCAAATTGTAATTGCTGCTGATAAACATTTCAGCGAGATTTATATCAAATATGTGCTTCATACCTTCAAAACTGGAGCGAGGAAGATTGAGACTCCGGTCAGAGCAAAGACCAGAATCCCTGTCATCCTTTGTTCCCTGGTCAGTTAGAAAAACAACCGTTGGACTCAGTCACTATCACACACGTCTGATTGCCTGAAGTTTTCCCACGAGTCCCGTGTTATCACATCACTGCAGACTGACCTGACGCCCAGGAACTGAGGCTGCTCTCCTGGAGCGCTCGACTCACTCTCCATCTTCAGGGAGTCGATGTGGGCAATGGAGATCACAGTGGCAGCGACGTACCAGGGCAGGCCCATAAAGGAGCAGGTGACCATCAGAATGCCGACCCAGAAGAGATCCAGGTGGTAACCACAGCCTTTCTGTCAGGGAAACCAAACCAGAGGTATTTTCAGTAGCACATTTTTTAGTTGTCATGTTTCAACTGGCTCTCCCAGTTTTATAATTTAGCCTTTCTTCTGCAGTAAAAAAAACCCCAACAAACCTTTAATTTGTTCTCCTTGCGATTAACAATGACTGCACTGATCTGCTGGTCCATGAAGATGAGGATTGTTACCAGGAGAGCAGGGACAAAGCTGGCTAAATACACCCACCAGGGGTTTTTTCCAAAGGGCATCACCAGCCAGCCTCGATCAGGTCGAGTTGGCTGGAAGGAGAGAAGACATAAAAGAAGAGTTTAGGAGAGGAAAGGAGTACAGAGGAAAGAGTAGGAGAGGAAAGGACAGAAGGGGGGAGAAGAGGAGAGAAAAGTAAAGGAGGAGACTTTTTTTCACAGAAAAGTAAAATATCAATTAAATGTGTAGAGAAAAGTCAGAATTATGATAAATGACTGAAAAATGAATTGAAAGTGAACTACTAAGCACCCGGGGTGCAGTGTGTGGGGACAGTGCCTTGCTCAGTGCACCTCATGTGTTGTGACAACATAGCAGCTGGGGGATCTGAACCTGAAACCCAAGTCCACTTCTTTAACCACTAAACCACCCCCAACCCCATATATGGTGGCAAAGGCACAAATACATTTATGTCTATTAAAATCTTTACCCTAGTGAAAAAGTTGAATTACCTTAAATTCTGTTGGAACAATTAACTTTGGGGTTTTGAGCCCTATCAACATATCCAGTCCCACGAACGTCATTATAGACATGAAGATGGCAAAGTCACTGATGAGTTTCCTCAGCTGGAGAGAAAGATGTAAAGGCATGGAGAGAAAAGACAGCATGTATAAAAAACCCAAAACAAAACAAATTTATTTCTGTGAAAGCAGACACTGTGTGTGAATATTGTCAGAGATGAGCCGTGTGTGGTTTCACATCAGAGTCAGAAATAAGGAGGGAAATAGTTCCTGAGATTTTTCAGCAAACATGTCAGTGTGGGCAGAGAAGTTAATACTTAGTTTCAGAATTAATTAAAAAACAATAAATTGGAACAAAGAAAACACTGACTGTTTTTAGTAATTGTGGAGTTTAAAACCCAGAACACACTTCAGAGACAGGTTTATCACTGGGTCACCGACTTATTTTTAATGTAAATTTCTTAGGAACTGTTTTTCTTCTTTGTGATGGTCCTGATGTCAGTAGCCGACACATCAGTGAAGCACATTCACTCCCTTTGCGTTCGGACCAATCATCATTTTACATTAAGTTCCATCTTTAATTCTACCATGTATGCACTGAAGTGGTGTTAAACTTTATTGTGATTTTACTTGAAGATAGAAAAACATAGCGAGAAAGTTTTCGCACCTTGGTGGGAAAGTAGCGGCTGAACTTAAACTTCTTCAGGGTGATTGTCATGGAGTAGGTGCCAAAGAAGAGGATGAAAGACATGAGGGCTAGGTCGGGCACATACTTGCAGGACTTTCCCACCAGAGAGCCTCCGTACTTCAGACACTCTTTTTTCGACATGGAGGGAAATGTAAACACAGAAAGACAGGATGAAAATTTATAACAAAGATGAGAAGAAATATTCCACAGAGGAACAGAAGAGAGTGATGGGAGAGTAAAAATACAAAGGAGAGAAAACACAGCAGAGAGAATTCTAAATCAGATGTCAGACATATGTTGTTCCTGTAAATAAATAAAAGTGTTTCTTGTTTCACAATAGACTAATTTCCATTCCCAAACACTGTTATTATTTCTGAAAGCACTGAAACTAAACCAGCTTTTTAGAGCAGCGGTGTTAACGGCACAACACATCAGACATCACCTGACCACAATTTTCTTTTTTTGCACTGACTCAGACACAGATAAGGAAGGAAGGAAGGAAAGTGAACTCCTTGTCATCGTGACACAGCTCACCACTGCACTCACAACCAAATGTGACCTCTGCTTTTAACCCATCACCAAAGTGAACAGTGGTCAGCTTTAAGGGGAGCAGTGAGTGGGGACGGTGTCATGCTCAGAGCACCTCAGTGGTAACTTGGCAGATGGTGGACTAGAACCTGAAACCTTCTAGACCCAAGTCTGTTTCCTTAACCACAAATTCACCACTGCTCCCCATGTACATGTACACTTAGCTAACATTTGGAATCACACATCTAAAGTCTAACACATTTGTAAATAAATAAATAAATAGAGCAGAAATAAAACAAATTGAAAAAAAACAAATCTTAAAATAATATATTTTGTTCAAAGCTTGAGGGTCTGGCAAATGTCTTAAAAGAATGGAGCTGTGGTCATTAAAGGATGTAAATATAAAGGCACGTACTGTATGTGTTATAGCTGTGTTATAAGAAAAACGCCACCACCATGTCACCACCAACATAAAACATTGTTATTTTACATGAAAATGAAACATTTCACCCATGTTATATTAGACTTAACATATTTTTTTTTACTTTTGATAATGTTAACAAAATAGTCCATGCAGACTAGAGATCAGTGGGCCTAATGCAGGCTAGTCCCTGGTTCAAAGGTTCGGCATTATGGATGAAACTTAACAGGTGTCAACATTGATATTAATGAGCTAAAAATAAAAAGAGAGAAAGATTCACTTACCCCAGAGATAGAAGAGCTGTTATCTGGCATTGGAGCTAAAGCAGTGAAGATCATTGCAGCCACTGTTTATGAATAAGGAAACGAAAAAAGAAACACAACGTGTGAAAATGAAAGGTAGTGAATTAAAGGTTCTGAGGTTCTAGCTGCTCTGTGCACAACAATGACCACATACTCACTTTGGAATAGATGGCAGCCAAATGAGTTGAACATGACAAGACAAACAAACAAAAAGACAAATCAGTTACAGAAATCAATGTCTGTTAATGCAAATCACTCCCATTTTTCAAAACTAAGGTTTTTTAAAAATATGTTTGTAGTAAAATTTCAACAACAGGAGGAGCACATAAATGGTCAACTTATCACTCTATATGTTTATTGCAAGATCCAAGATTCTTTATTGAAAAATACACAGGGCTCTTCATCACATTCTGTCCTTGGTTTGCCGATCTGTCAGTTTGTATTTACTACTATAGGCAAACTACACTAACAGTTGAAAATACTGTGACTTTTGAGGAAATACAGACAAATCAGAGTGGCTTGTTAGACCTTCATACCCCTGAGGTAAATGGCTAAAACAATCAACATTAAATGCTCTGAAATGCTAAGTACAATATACATTTAGAATAAAGAAAGAAAACTTGCAACAACCTGCGGAACCTTTCTCACCATAATTGTTTTTTAGATTATTCAATATCCTCATGAATCCCTGTCACACAGTGGCTCAGTGATGCAACAGCATCCATGGTTAGTGAAAGTGGTAAAAGTAATGAAATTCAGTTTCAAATGCTGACAGTGCTAGTAACAAGTGTGGGAAGTTTGTTGACTATGAAATAATCTGATTAAAATAATCATCACCTACTAAAACACCAAGAGAATTTCTGTTTCTTAACAGTGAACTGTAAAACCTTCCTCTAATTTGGTTCCCTAGTGTAGTGGTTAGCACGTCTGCCGTGCAAGCTGACAACAGAGATTCCTGGGTTTGATTCCCAGAGGAACCACATATCCCTAATGGCCCATCCAATGGCAGTCTGTGTCATTTGCAAACAACCACAATGTAAAATTTCCCCCGTCGTGGGACAAATAACAAACTCAATTATAATTATTAATATTATTAATGTATCACCTGTTAGTTGGAAAATAAGTTGAAATATAACTACAGCGCCCTCTAAAGGATAATGACATCAAGGAATCTCTAATTTGACAAATGGCTGTGATGCGTATTTATCTCTTTTTGATTTATTTATTTTAAATTATTTTTTAAATTTTAAATAGTTGTTATTCATCTTCTGAAGTCAAGAGATGAACTCACCCGGGTCTGGAGCCAGACACTCGCACTTGTAAGCTGTGACATAGTCTGGCTTGAAATCAGTGTTGATGGGATAGTATTTGAAGGAGCCCACCATCTTTTTGATAGCGTCAGAGATGAAGATGAAGGAGATAAGACTTGAGAAGCCTTCCTCCGTGAAGCGTGTCATGTACTTGATGATGTAACTGGCATCCGTGGCAACGAGGATGAGGCACTGGATGCAGGAGTGGATGCCGATCCACAGACGCAGCTCCATGTAGTCGATGCTGTTGCTCCTGAGGCAGGTCAGAAGAATCTGTTTGAGTCTATGATCTACAAGCATCACTGACTAAAGCTCCAGTGTCATTTCAGTCAGAAAGACTATAATTCGTCACACTAGAGACCTGTGGTGTTTACATTTTATCTTGTCACTCACTCCTTTGTGTTCACTCTCACTTTTTGTTTCCCGGGGACACCCATTAAAAAATTAGTTCCTTCTGACAGACCAGCACACCGTCATGTAATTCTGTCAATGTTCTGCTGTCTTCCTAATTTTGCTGTTTGTCATCCTGATTATTTCCTTTTACGCTGCTAGACAAGTGTGTCCCACCAACGGCTCTGGTGTATATGATATCAGTCAGTTAGGATCTACAGACCAAGCACTGATGACTTTTGTCATTTTAGATTTAATGTCATTTGACTGAGATCTGCTTTGTAAGATGATGTAAATAATAGCTGATGATTTTCAGGGGAGGGGAGGGTTCTCTGAGGTAGAAACTCACTTGCTGAAATCAAACAGGAGCTTCTCAAAGATTAGAATCGGGCCAGTGGAGCTGAGGATAATGAGGGGCTGACCACCAAAAAGACAGAAGACAGACCCGGCCAACGCCGTACCCAGGAAACTCTCCATCACTCCCTTTGAAAAAACAAAAATAAACAGAGGACAGCAATTTAAGGTTACACAGTACTGATGAGGAGCTGGAGGACTCAAATTGGTTAATTAGGTAAATTAGTTTCATATGTGAAATAAAGAGGGAAAAACCCTTGTTTTCATTTGATTTATAACAGACACTGATAAAGCAAATATGTTTGTATTACAATGCCACTAGTGTTTCAGCTGTAAAATGTATTCAATGCTTATATAGGTAAACTAACACAAAGAGTATTTAAAAGCAGTGTTTATCTTTAACAGGAAAATCTCAGTGTAATAGAGTTATATGTTCTATTGTTATGAGAAACACCATCTAAAGGTTTTCATACAGTCTATATTTCAAAGCTAACCTCATAAATATGACACATAAATTAAAGCTGACCTTCCTGCACTGGATGATATCCGCTGATGCTAATCTGCAGCACTGCCTTGTGTATCTGCGCTCATGTTTACCTGCATTACTCTAGGTCTTCAGTCTGAATGGGATTCAGTGTTATAAGTCCAGTTGTTTGTTTATTTTTTTATTTTTTATTTTTTTGCTAAATCTGTTTTCCTTCTGTAACAGGAACCTATCATGAAGACAGACAAGGCCATTACAGAAGTGTTATCAGTAATTTCCTCTGAAATGCTGTAGCTGATATTTTTTATATTTTGCTATTTTATAGAAAAACTATGATCTTCGGAAAAAGGAGCTGAGAATCAAAACCTTATGTCAGGCAAAGAGAAGATAACAGTAGTCAGTGCCTCTACACCACTCACCTCTGCCCTCTTCTCTCATTTGGTTTCTCTACATAATCACCTAGATTGAATGCCAAATGATGCAAAGAAACTAGCAGCCTTTAATGGTTGAATATTTGAGAAGTTGATGCCTACAGTGCATTTCACAAAATTGGGAACAGAACCCAAGTCTGAGAGAAACGAGCATAAAGGTAGCTTTCTGGGATGTTTCTTAAATAGCAGATTAACAGGTGAGTGATGATGGTATAAGGATTGGCTACAAAAGGAGCATTCGCCAAAGGCTCAGTCTTTGGAAGGTAGTTTGGCTCAAAACTAACCACTTCATACATATCAAAAAGGTTGGTGGACCACTGGTGACACCAGTCCACAAAACAATGTATCCACAGAGCAAAGGAAAGGGTGTGTGGAATGGAAATAAAGTGCATCATACATAATTTAATGATTACATTCTTGATGTAAATAATAAATAATAAAAATTACAATTTTGCATTGTGCATTATAATTATTATGAAATTGTAATTTATCTTTTTCACCAAAAAAAAACAAAAAACAATACTGGCCCCTGACCCAGTGGTTGGGGAATCCTATTTATAAACGTAAACTCCCAATTCCAATCTTTGGAAAAATAAAATAGATTTTTTTGTATTACTGCAATTTCACCTGATAATTTTCCGTTGCATCCCCCAACAAGCCACCAAAGGTGATGGCATTGGTGATGCATCCCAGGTAGATGAAGAGCACAGCAGAGATAGACTGGATGTGGAAGCCCTCGTAGAAATCACTGGGCAGCCAGGGCAGTTTTCTCTTTATGTCCAGCCACAGACCCCCACAGAATCTATTACACATAGAAAAAGGCAGCGTCGTGAGGATGTTAACCATGCTCCACTTCTCTGTGGGACACGTCAGTCTCTCTGAAGCAGGAGAGAGTAGGGAAGTAATTGAATGGATGGCTCCCCTGCAGAGTCTTTCTTCACTTGGAGAAATTGAAAAATGGAAGTTTTCACTGATGAAACGTACACTGACAGCTTTGATTTTCTACACACATTTCAGCTTTTCTTTCTTTCTTCCTTTTGTTTGTTTTTTACCAAAGTCCGATAAACATTCCACAGCAAATCAAATTAAACATACATTCTATAGTGGCTCTCACTGACAGAGTTAAATTTGGTTTAAATTATGTTTACCATATTCACTTTTAATAAAGAAAATTAAGACAGGGGTTTCAAAACTTTTCCATGCCAAGGCCCCCCAAACAGCATCAGCTTCTGGTTGAGAACCCCCTTTGGAAACGCAGAGGCAACGCTACAAAATATGTTAAGAAACTTAACTTTCAACTATCAACTCCTCTAGAATTAATTTTCTTACCTTTATTCACTATTCAGTTATTATTACATTTGTTTAGCATGTGATAATTATTACCAACACATTTTTCAACACTGTAAATTCCCACTGAATAAAGGGGTGAAGGGGTTCCTAACACAGTTTAAATGCGTGTTGTCCATTTTATGCTAAACATTAGTTTGAGGAGCAGAGCAGATGGATAACATGCACAAACCGCCACAGATTCTGATGTTTTCATGTTTCAGATGTCATGAAAGGTGCATTCATGTAGAATCAAAAACTTGAGAATCTGCCGATTACGGCAGTTTGCTTGTTGTACGGTTCAGGAAAAATGGTTACAATGAAATGTCGAGTTTTTTCTTATCTTTCCTCAAATTTTCTAAGGTCCCCCAGTGCCCTTTGGTGGCCGCCTTTTTGAAAACCACAGGGTTAATATATTACCGGTAAATACAATACAATAATACTGTAAATTAAATCCTTAAGAGGGAAATTGACACTGAACCGTTTATGCTTTTTGTTTTTAGCCCCACCTCTAACCCGACTGAAGATTAATATTTGTATCCTCAGTTAAAGAGCTCATCAGGGGCCATCTGCATCCATTCTTTCCCCATAATTTTCTCTCATTGCCAAATTTCTGATCATTCACATTCATATTATATTAATTCCAAAGCCCTCAGCAGTGTCCGGCCAAGTGGCTCAGACCCCTCACCGTCCAGTAAATGCCAGCTCCTCTCCCAGCTCATGTTGCACTGGCATCTCCTCATCGCTAGCCAGTCCTCCTCCCCCGCCTCCTACTCCTACCCCAGCTGTACCGTTCATCTGTCCCTGCTCATTCAGGGAGAACACGGACTTCCTGCAGGTTGGATGCAAACAGTAAAGAAGAAAAAACCAAATATGAGAAATAAAATATGTAGTGTTTTTTAGGGCATTTGTAGTAGTTGTAGTCCCATTAAAAACCTCTGAGCTCAGGCCGATAACAGGACAGGCTCAGGATTAGGAGTTTTAGCTCCAATACTTTATTCCACAACAGATAATTTGGTGGTGAGTCTAATTCTTTCACAAAAGAAGTTAATTTAATCATAGATTGCCCTTGTGAACTTGTTGAGAGAGATTATTGTGAATCATTGAAGTTCATGTTAAAACTCAAACCTTTTGTCTGCTGACGGCACTTTTTTCGGAGGCTCAATGCGGATTTTAGGATCCCATTCACCTGGTGGAAGCACAATGACTTCATCCAGGAACTCATCTATGCCGGCAATGAGGTCTTCCCGATCTCTGGCCTTATAAGCTACATCACTGAAGAGCTGTGAAGAGGAGATGGAGGTGAAGGAGAAGAAAACCAAAGTGATATAATCAATATGATCGGATATAAAAACAGCACAGACTAAAGATAAATGAAAATGAAAAAGGTGTCTGCAGACTGGAGGGGAAAGAAAAATGCTTCTGTTCGGTGGAACCTTCATCGATTTATTTTCTCCCACAGCAACAGTCTAACTTAATTTTGCAGAGTACAACGATCACTAAACGTATTGTAGCCATTCACTCTCTGCTGCCAAGTTTCAGGATTGACTGGAATCCAGCTAATAACTGGAAATTGAATTTTACAGACTGCCTGCACCAACTGTATGTTAAGTAAACACTCCAAGTGATATGAAAACAAAGACAAATGTCTGACAATTAAAACCTGAGGCTTTACCCTCAGGCTCTCGGCTTCTTTTTTCAGCCAGCCTTGGCTGACGTTACACACAGAGAAACACCAGAATAAACCCAAGCTCTCTGTAGTGAAGGAGACACAGAGCTCCTTAAGAGTCTGTGCCCAACACCGCAGCTCTGACGGGCTTCACAAGGATTTAACACAATGTCAGGTCCCAGTAATAAAACTGTTGTGTTTCAATAGGTAAAACTTTTATATGTACTTCTCTGATGAACTTTGAGCTTCACAAATATTATCAGAGTATCTTTTAACGGTCTTCTCAGCTAATATTTACGTTTCATTTTTTGTGTTTTTTTGTAATGTTAAGTTACTTTCTTGTGTATAGACATCCTATTCTTACCTAATATTTTACCCTAACCCTTTCTCATCTCCTTAATAATTTTCTTGCCTTTGTTTGGGAGTTTCTGTTATCAGTGTTCAGTTGTTTGATTTGATTAAAAAATAAAATGCACATAAATGCACATAAATAAATATTTTATAAAAACATTTTATATTATATAAAACATTCATAATTGTTAAATTAGGGCAAAATAGAATATTCCCTCTGCCGGTTGGAGGAGAAAAGAAGGTATTGGATTGATATATGTATAGGCAGTATCGGTATCGGGCATGAAAAGTTGTATCGAGCATCCCTGTTATCAAATGTCAAATCAATGATAAATGTTTACTTTTTTGTTTTATCAATCTGCTGAAATAAAAAAAAAGGGAAATCTGCTTACATCATCCACCATTAGTGTTGCTATAGCTCTGCCAATCTCATTGTACGACTTGGCTTTTCCTTGAGGTCCCAACAGAATAAAGAGGAATCTGTGCAGGGACAAGAAGAAGGCAAAGTTTCGGCAGGATATGATGTTGGAATGTCTCACCTACAGTAAGTGAGAGTAAAGAGGGCAGTAAAATGTTCTACATCTTCTCACCTGGTGGGAACAGGAACCTCCGTCAGACCTCCTAACGTCGTGGCCTGGGCCAGGCGAACAAATGCAACAAAGGGTTTGTTCAGGAAATCCACCTCGCCCACCAAAACATTGGAGGCCTCGGCATCTCTCGGGATCTTCTTTATGAATTTGTTTCTTAGCTGAAAGAGGCGTAAGGAAAAGAGAGTAAGATAAAATGTGTACTAAATTATATCTCACTACTTAATCAATAAAAATAACTAGCAACAATTTAGAGAATTGTCTCTATTTTTTTGAGTCTTTTATGCTTGGTTGTCTGACCTTGAATTTGGAGGTATCTTTCCAGTATCTGTTAGCACTCTCTTACTCATAAATTCCACCGACACAGTTCTTCCCGCCTAAGAAAGTTCTTCTGTTTGTCTGTATAAAATGCTATATTTCCTGGTCAACCTGTAACATTCCATCTAAGGCTTTTATGGCAAACTCTATCACTCAAGGGACAGATATTTAAAACACAGTCGAATGTGTTTTAAATTTCACTGCGAATGAAACAGGAACCACATTTATAGATCTAGAGCTAACAATGCTTTAATCAGAAACATTGAATTATATGAGTACGCCCGAGTGCTGTATGTAATGGTACCGCAAAATTGGAAAGCATCATAATGACACTCATCAGTGAAGAACTTGGCCAATCATCCACAGTAGCTCCATGTGAGGGCTGCACACGTGGACCTGACAATGAGATCCAGGTTTTTTTCTGATGCCGGGTCAATACTAACACGGAAAGTGCGTCACACAACTGTCATCAGCCCATTGTCACATGCGACCAGCTAAAGGTCTGTTAATTATACGAACTGAGTTGCTGGGAACTGGATGGACCTACTGCAGCTGTGATAACAAATAAAGTTCACTGCCCACATTACACAATACTATCATAAAATGATATACAATACTATTACTTTCAATGAGTGATACTTAATCCTGACCCGCTCAGTGTACTTATCGGGGCAATGACAGCACATGTGTTGGTGGGTTGTGTTTGCACATTTCCTCTTTTCATAAATGTAGCTGTCACCTTCACTGGAAAGTGTAGAAAGATGGATACTTTAAAAGACAGAGTACAATGAATGCACAAGACAGAGCACAAACAGACAAACACATCGATCCAAGGTGGCTGAGAAATTCCTACAGATTGTTGGGGGCCAACCAGTACTGTATGGCAACTAAAGTGTTGAACACCATTTTTGTAGTTCAGGTTAATGAAAGAAAAAGGTTTTGGAAAACACCCACACGAAGAATGATGAATATAATACAATGCAAAATTTGAAGCTAAACTAAGGTGCAAAAGTAGGATGTTTGATTTACTTGGTCTGGATTAGGAGTGTCGGCAATGTCATTCATACTCCTGCTCTGAGCATGACCTGAAAAAAAAAAGAAAAGAGAAAAAAAAATCTTTTGACAATTGGGCAAAAACATATACTATTAAGTTTTAAATTGAGAAGTCATAGGACTTTTGATCACTTCTGAAATGCACATATATAAAACAAATGTTCTTACTTTAAAGTTGAAGGCCTGCAGCAAATTATGTATGATTGATTGTTTAGACAAAAATCTTTAACAAAAGACCCATGTCATTGAAATGGTCTATTAAATGTAACACTGTTGCCTGATGCATAGGTGATGTCATCATCACCACTGTGGCTCCTGGACTGTAGAAACCAAAATACTTTGGAAGCCATTAGAAGCTGATCAACCAGACCAAACAGCCACATTTATGGGTTTATGGATTGGTACTCACGCAGGCGGCCATAGTTGGAAGACTGTTGTTTTGTTCTGAGATCTTCTGTTGATCTGTTAAAGTTGGGTATTGACCCTGCACCTGGTCCACCTCTGGAACCAACAGTACGACCTGGCAGAGGGTGGAAAGCAGGAAACAGGACAAACAGTACTAGTGTTAAAATAGATATTTTAAGATTAACTCTCAGTAATCCTGGTTGAGGGAATGTCTCAAGCAGTAATTACCTCATCAAACATTGATACATTCATGTGAAGGAGCATATGGGTTTGTTTTTTTCTCCATAGCACAACCTTGTATTTACAAAATCAAAGCTATGCATAACAATGAGTCAAATGTAGGAGCAAAATGGACCAATCACTAGTCGGGATTGTGATTTCTCAGGCATGCACTGTGCTGCATGTAATGGCAGGTTATTATTGATGCTATCATACAGAAATGGTACAGAAATAATATGTTTGTCATGTCAGCACGTGATTCACTTCTGCACATGTGAGATGACAAAAAGCAACCATCATAAAATGTCTGACAACTGACACCAAAATGAGTCTATTTGTATATAATTAGGTAAATAGAGATAACAATTTCCAACAGCGACTGTATACTGACTGTTGGAGGAGCTGGACTTTCCGATGTCAGCCAGTGAGCGATGAATGGGCTTCTTGGTCTGATGTCGATGTTTCCTCAGCAGGACGAAACTGATCTTGTCTCTCAGATCGGCAGATATCATCCCCTCCTCTATCTGTCTCTCAATGATGTCATCTGTAAAAAAATAGAAGGTGTAGGCTATGTTACAGAACCAGACATTTAAGTTCTTATAAGGTTTAATTATTTCTAAATGCATTATTTCAGTTGGACACGGCATGAGTTGGTCTGTAGATTTTATGATTAAAAATGTGTTTAACATATTCATCTTTATCTTTAACTTAGAGTTAAATTAGCACAGAAATGCATATTTTGAATGTAACCAAGATACCAAACATTAGTAGCCAAGATAACATGAATAAAGTTAACTTTTCAGGTGTTCTTTGCGCTGCTACGTCCAACATGACGCAAGTGCAAATAAAGGGAATGAGACAATGATGAGTCTATCATGTTTGGTGTTAACACGGAATAAATATTTAATATTTATATAAAAGATCAAGATGAAGTTTTAGGTTTCATAGCAACGGTTGCTATGTTACATCAGCCATTAGGGGTGTGGCTTTAGCAACGATAAAAAAAGCCTTTGATGTAAACTAATAATTCATGACATCACATTGCAACAAGTCCAACTGACCCCGAGATTAAACTGCAGGGTCATGGAATCCACCTGTTGTTAAACCCTGTCATCAGACACAAAAGAATTAGCTACAGTGGAATGAATGGATTAATCCAGCAAGAAGCATTTGTACAAAGTGACATATGTTCACAGAGGATAAACAGGGAGTAGCTGAACTGGATACATGTGTCAGACCTGTTTAAGGTCAGATCTAATGGAACCTTACAGAGTAAGAAGTCAGACCAGTTTAGAACAATTTACTAGCATGGACAAAACTGGAAACTTCAATAAAAGCAAGAAAGAACCTAGAGACACAAATGTCTAGGAAGCCATCAAACCTAAAATTCATACTGAGGACTCATTTCAGGGCAGTTCGCTCTATGCTTGATTCCTTTCTGCTAAGCATGACACAGGAGCAGTGGACACTAATTGAGAGCGACTGTCTTGATCAACCAGTCAAATTGTTGGTTGCTGATCTCCTGTTGAACATTACACAAACCATCACAGCGTCACTTCTTTTCATCCAATGTGGGACAACTGAGAAGGTGTCTGTGGAGACGGTCCAGAATACTTTGGGTTGTGCAATCTCAAACAGTTTTTCACTGACTCTTGGAGAAGATGTGGCTTCCTCCGTCCATGCAGAGCTGCTCATACGTTTGATGCACCAAGATGTGGCTGAAGGTGTGAGTTCTGCCCTCTCCAGCAGCAACATCACAGGTGAAGCACACATCACCACTCCATTTGACAGACTAGATGCAATGGTCCAGCTCGCCTGCCAGATGATTAAACGCATGAAAAGGAGATGCTTAAGAGTGAAGCCCTGTACCACACCAGTACCGTTAGAGCTAGTTTCTGGGGACAACTTTATAAATCAGACAAATAATGTGAAAAAATTAATCAACATAGAGGTCAGTCAAATTGTACCTTTTTCAGATCGAACCACCGAGAGCGAAGACTGGCTCCTCAACTTAGAATCTTCTTCAGAGACCATAAGTGAGGTCAACAAAATTGCTCAACTGGTGGACAAGAGTTTCAGATGCAGGGATGCTTCAGGGCCATATTATGAGATGCTTTCCAAACTGCGGACTGCAATTGAGTCTGAGATTAAGACCTTTTTTCTCAAATTAAATGTTAGGGCATTATTATTTAGCAGACTGGCTCAGATGAAGACCCATTTTCAAAAGGACCGTGAAGGCAGAGGCAGGAAAGAACTGCAGTCAATCATAGATGACATTGAGTCTTGGATCCTGACAAAAGATACTGTGGGCAGTGGCAGTGATCAAGCAGGTATTGCTGATCTTGAGGTAGTAACAAAGTTTAGTGATCTGCTTTTTACTTACATCAGACAGAAACCCGTTGAAAATAGGACACTTGATCTGTACAGGGAAATACAGTTCAAGGTAAAGACTCTCCTGGTACTGATGAGCTGGTGGCTTCAAAGTCTGGCCGATAGCCACAGTAAAAGGCTGACACAAGGTTTAATGCAATCGGCAGGAATAACAGAGCCCCCTGCAGCTCAAAAGACAGAGCCTTGTGAAAAAGCTAATGACACTGGTCCCGCCAGTGAGTCAGATCATAGCATATTTGATGATGAAGACGATGTTGTCAGTGAGTCAGATGTTTACACCACAAAATCAGAGGAGTCGGAGTCTGAAAAATCTATTGCACATAAGACTGAACTTTGCATTAGCCAATCTGTGTCCAGGGCAACATGTGCAAATCCACATACCACACCTGAGCATCTAAAACCAGAACACAATAAGGACAAGTCTGTGCTTAAGATGATCGTAGAAAACTTTGTGTTTAAGGCTCACAGGAAGGCAAAGTCCAAATGTTCTACTTCAGAACAACATGCCATCGCTGAGCGCCTCTTGAAATCAGTGTGGGCTACAGTCAAGGCGAACAACATTGTAATTACTTTAAACATGATCAAACATCTGCACACAGATGTATTTCATCAGCTGTGTAAAAACATCTCTGCACGAACCCTTATCCTGGCACTGATGTTTAAGGAACAAGAAATTGACTCAATTGTTGTCGAGGCGTTCAGGGACCACCTCACCTCGCCAAAAAAACACAAAAGCATTTGGAAAATACTAGGACAGTTGGTTGTCTGTGACATGGTTTGTGCTAAGACACCCAGCTGGAGTTTGATGGGACAGAAATGGTTTCAGACAAATATTTTAAAATTCTTCTGAAATTCTGAGTATGTGTGTAGCAAAATGGGGCTTAAATTGTAACTTTTAAATGTGTGCTATTTAAGATAATAAGAGGTTATGACATAGATGAAAGAATTTTTTATATTAATTCCTCTAAACTTACTCCTTATTTTGACCTGTTAATTTTGTTTTTGAACTGTTTATTTCTTTTTTGAGGTAATATTTACTGGAGTTCACTTGGCTTTTCTAACTCCACAAAGATTTGACAGCCACTTTGACACGTGAAGCAGTACGTTAGCTAATTTATCAAAGATTCCTATATTTGTGGCCAACTTTACTTGTCTTTATAACTTTGTAGATGTTTTCTGGTTAACCCCAATTGTCTTGATTTTAACGTTTAAATATTTGTAATGCTAAATAGTTGCATCAAGGGTAACTGGATGGAGTAAGCATCATGAAGTGATCACCTCTCATCAAAGAGGCTTCTTCAGCTCTGTAACTATTTTTGGATAAGATGACCTGGATGACTGAGAACCCACACAGACATTTGTATATTTAACATCCAAAAACAAATTGAAATTATATTCCCTGTACAAGGAAATATATATATTAACCAACCTTTTAAAGAGGGGGGTCACTATCCAGGCTTTGAGAAAAAAAATAGAAAATATCTCAGAATCTCACCGACTATTTGTGGCAGTGAGTAACCCTCCAAGTCCAGCAGCACCGTTCCTGTCTGGAGACATGTTCTCAGCTCAAAAAGGCTGTGTAGGGACAGAGTGGACACATGGGGTTTGCTCCATCGCTCTCCACCCTCCTCCACCTTCTCCTCGAACTTCACCCACCTGAAGATAGTAGAACACAGAGGTGAAAGGTTGCCAGCTGCTGAGTAGTTATCAGGGATTTGACCTGGCAGCAACTCTACCAATAACTCAATCTTTAAGCTACGTCTGTCCCTGTTGTCAGAAATACTGTGGTCTTTACAGGAAGCTAAGGCTTAACAGGTCTTTCTGCATTGGGGTTTGGGACATCAAATACGTACCAGGTCAGCTGCTTCTTTATGTCTGAAATGAACCTGGGTTAAGCCATCTGTCCTATTTTGGGCCAATCTGGCCCACCAATACTAAGGGTAGAACACAAATATAATTGGGAAGTGTGCCACTTACAGCAAAATTAAAACTGAAACTGAGGTGAATCTTTTGGGTATTGTTCCTAAAAGTGCTTTGTAAGTGGGTGATAGGTTGTGTCTGAGTCCACCTCCTCTGTTGAGTGATGGTTTTTCCAGGTTGACAAAAATGGCTTCTTTTACCCCTTTCTCAAACCAGGGAAGACAGATGGTTTGAACAATACCCAAAAGATTGTCCTCAGTTTGACACAACAAAAAGGCAGGTGAACGAAACCGTTCTGATGAGGACCACAACAACCCATCAGACTCTTAACGACTGTTTACACTTTCACAGTTGACCCCAAGGCCAAGTAGCTTCATTCTTTCTCACCTAGAGCATATATCTGCTGTACTCCCCACCACCAGTTAGAACTGAAGAAGCCTCTTGGATTAGAGGTGAAACGTCTTATTTAAAAAAAGATCACGTCCAGTTGCCTAACAGAACTTTTCAACCTAAAACATGTAAAGTAGTATGAAGTCAGGATCCCACATAAAGAGACCCAATCCCTGAAGTAGTAATGTTGTAACCAGGCTTGTGACCCATATCTGCATAACCCAACTGAAATGGACCAAATGGATTCCTTTGTCCATTTACTTATTGTTGCTTTAATATACAGTCAATACACTTGTTACTATGCTCACATTCATACCAGTGGTATATTTGGTGTCCCATCAGGCTAATCTCCTGATGTGCATGTTTTGAACACCTACGCAGCCAAACGACCATGTTTTTAATACAGATTCCATAAATATTGACCATATGTGAGACCACTTTCATAATTCCTTGTTAGGTGATCCCACTAAATGATTTCCAAATCTCCATCTAAATGCAGAACAACTGTATACCTTTTTTTTTTTTTTCAACAGCATAAACGTGACTGGAATAAAAAACAAGGTCTGGTTATTCACCTGGCAGACTCTTTCCATTCCAGCTCATCTCCTTCCCTCTGGAGAGTGTCCATCTCAGTGAAGAGGGTTGGTGTCGGCATATCATCATCTTCACTCAGGATGTAGCGAAGTCGCTCTGCTGCTGGAGACACTGCAAAATATTTAAATTAATAAATGAATGAGTAAATAAATAGATATCGGAAAAGTAATGTTAAGATGAATATCAAAAAAATTAGGTGAAATATAAGGATCACACATATATAGAACATTAAGGATTTATTTGAGGAAAGGTTTTAAAAATTGCCATTACTACAGGCTCTTGTTATAGTTTGTACTACTTGGCTATAATCTTGGGCAATGTGTGGTTTGTATATCTTTCTAAAAGGGCATGAGAGTTTGCATTCTGATAATTCAACCTATGTGTCACCACTGTGTCTCTCTACCCTTATCTTTCCTGCCTGTTCTGATCACATAACCTTACTTGTGAAATGACAATGGGCCTAACAGCTTGAGGTACTGTTTTCCTAATCACAACAGATTTTTTTTTTCAAAAGGTTTTTTTTTGTTCCACCTATTAAGCAGGTTCACATCACATCTAAGGAATTCGGGAAATGGATTCTTTGAACTATGAAACAAATGCTGACCCCTGTAATGTAGCTGTGCTTATTTTTCACACATTAAAATGCTCCTCCACAGAGTCAAGATATCCCTCAGGCCGAGGGGCTCTCAATCATAGTGTGGCTCAGCTCTGACGTCAGTATGCGCATTCTGACGCATTTGCTCTATAATTATCTGCATATCATCCTCCTGAACCAGCATCTATTCAGACCAGCAGTATCTGCTGCATCTGTTTCATCTGTGGCAACCATTGAGAACCACATAGGAAGGATGCAGCAGTACACATGCACCAGCAGCTCAATGACAAAATCTGAGTCAACAAATAAACAATAAATCAGGAAGAAGTGTGAATTTTGACTGTAAAGCCACTACACAAGAGGTACTCGACTTGCGTCAACACCATTTTCAATATAACTCAGAACTCTCGTGCTCTTCATAAGTACTTATGTCACTCACACATCTACATAAACACATCATAATCTAGGACACAAAAACATCAGAAGAGTCTGACTTATGCCTTAGAGCCATAATGAAATGATGACATTTGGTTTTACACATTTGTAGTGGTGGCTTAGTGGTTAAGGAAGCCAACTTAGAAGGTTTCAGGTTCTAGTCCACCAGCTGCCAAGTTACCACTGAGGTGCTCTGAGCATGACACCGTCCCCACTCACTGCTCCTCTTAAAGCTGCCCACTGTTCACTTTGGTGATGGGTTAAAAGCAGAGGTCACATTTGGTTGTGTGCAGTGGTGAGCTGTGTCACAGTGACAAGGAGTTCACTTTCACTTTCTTCTTTCTTTCTTACTTGTGCGGTTGATGTCTTGGAGACTCTGTTCATTTGGGTCAATGAATCCTCCCTCCAGGTCTATGTCTCTGTATTGTCTATGCTCATGCTGTCTCTGCTGGTGGTTGTAGTATGTGTCTCGGTCCATGTCTTCCACCTCATGACTTGAGCGCCTTCGTCTACGCTTACGCCGATATCCACGAGGTACTGGGACACCGATGTAGATGGACTGATGGTCTAAAGGGACAGAATTGACAAAGATTGATCTTTTCAAGAGATTGAGTTTGAGTCCTAAAGGTAAAATTTAAGCAGTTGATCAGAGAGATGTTAGTGAGACAAGATGAAGATGGTTTGGAAATAAGCTAAACAATGGTTGTGCAACAATAGGAAACAATAAAGATTTAGGCTCAAGTCCATGGATATTTTTAAGTAACCCTTATGAACATGCGATCACCACCACACTTAGTTAAAGTGTTTCCTTCTTGTTTTTTCTGTTAATTGTTTCTTGTGTCTCACCTTTGTGTTGATTCTTCAAAATGTTCCAATCCCTGCTTTTCTTTGTCCACACCCCTTTGCCTACTTGTTTCCTCCTGCCCCATGTGGTGACTACGTATTTACTAACAGCCTCATTATCACAGTACGGAGGTCTTATAGTTTCAGATCTCTTTTTTCAGATCTACAGAGTCACACTGGCCACAAACCTAAATTCAGTTTGTTTGTTTTTCATTTGTTTAAAAGCAATTAATGGTTTCCCTTTACGTGACCTCCACCACAATACCTCACAGAAAACTAGTTCATGTTTTTCCTTCCTAGGGTCATGCATCAACAATACAAAGAATGTCATAGATAATACATTAGCAGCTTTGGAATAATCCTGCTATCAGACAGGCATGTCTGAAAACTTAATCTCTGCAATTTACCAAAACAAGTCACTTAAATAAAAGTCAATCGAAAAGACCCTGAAAATTGACTCATCTTCTAATAATAATTCTTTTATACACAGGAGAAGTGAGGTTAATGATGAATGTGAAAACACTTTAAACAAAGTTTGAATCAACTGCGTTCTATAAATGAGGTCTGCACTGTAGCAGCAGCAGCTGTATCCTCAGTTGGCTCAGTTACAAACAAAAACAAATCAGGCCCATTGAGAAACTCTCTCCTCTGAGCTTCATTTTTAACTTTCTAATCCCTGTTCTACGATGAAGAAAATCACTGGCTGATGAGTGTTTAATCATCTGTAAGTAATTAAGTTGTCCGTGTAAACATAATTGCATACAAAACTCGACATTGAATACATAGGCCAGAAGATATAGAAGCAAATCAGAAGTGTTTGGATGAAGCAAAATATATTGAGAATCTTTTGATTATGATAAAAGAATGTGAGCTGTACTCACACAAACATCTGTATGAACAACCGACACACACACACGTAAAAAATGTTCACAGTCACACTTATCAACAAATTAGAAAACTGTAGATAATTTGATGGAACAACAGTCTCCTGGCAATTTCCGAAGGTGTAATGACTTAATTTCCTGTTTCTGTTAGCAAGGATTCAGTAAGCGAGAGTATGAAACACTGACACACAGATAAAGACACACAGACACACACACACGCTTACCCTCCTCCTCTTGGCGTAGGTGAGAGACGCCCATTCCTCGGTCTCCATGGTTCATCCTGGTGAGAGTAAAGACAGTTTGTTGAAGAGATATTATAATCATGTTTTATGCAGAAAAGGATCCAGATGGATTGTTTTACTAACATAATCTGTTTGTATAAAAGGTTATAAAGCTTCTTTTATTGCAACAACTTTTTGTTAAGCTCTTCTAATGAATTTTTACCACATTGCAATTCTAGCTAATGGATATCACTTTCAACAAAAGTCAAGAACTCTAAATAAGTAGAATCAGAGGCATTTTTTTCTTTTTCTGCTCCACCTTAACAGTCCCTCTGATCTGCTTAGAGCCACTGTCTATAAACCATACATCATAGCAGGTTTCACTACCCCTGAAATCCGTCTCCATCCATTCCAACCTGCCTGATCCTGTTTCTTCACCTCTTTTTTACATTGTGTTCTAGCCCTACCACTCCGTACCTAATTGGTGCCCAATAAATAGATTGGAATCTACCAGTAGTTCTATTTTAAGATGCTCATCACTAGGGCTGAAGTAAGGACCATAGAAGTATTGAGTCAGACGATATTGTGCCATACAACTACAGCCATTTAATCAAAGTAGTGAATATATATTTATAGTTTTCAATGTAGGCAGATCACTTTACCCCGGTCATTTGAAAAGTAGCTCCTAAGTCAAAAATGTGTGGACACCCCTGGTCTAACAAAATGGTCTAATTGAATATTAAATTTAAATAATATATTGTTTTACTACATCAGTACAGAATACCAAAAAAAAAGAAGAAGAAAAAACATACGTACAAGCACATGTCAAAGTTACAGCACAAGCAGAGACCGCTCTTGTTCACTGACCTGCATGTTGGTCCACAGAGCAGATCAATATAAAAATAATTACCAGCAAGGCCAAGTCGATGGACATGTGCATGATTAAAATGACTTCTCCCATGTGTCACTAATTCACACGTGGGACACACTGAACACACACTTAACACACACTGGACACCTGCGGCCACATTTAAGGCCACCATCCTGTTCCTGCTGGATCAGGGTTAGAGAGATTATATACATCCACAGTCTGATTGACTGGACTGGATCAATACACAATACAAGTTGTACCAGTCTTTATGTTTGTCAAATGACATTTCCTGTAGACTAGTGGTTCTCAAACTATGGTAACTATGGTACCACTGTTGGCATTGAGGACATAGTGGTGTGTGGAAATTTTATTCCCATCCAGATAAATTGGGTTAAACACAGCTGTGATGTGGTCTCACTGTCCCAGTGTGGTGATACATCACATGCATTTCTATTTTTCAATTTGGTTTTGATTTATGGATAGGATAATAACCTGATAGGGAATCAAATCTTCCATTTGGATTTTGTGCTTAACTGAACAGGGACGGTCAGTTCTGCTCTATTTTTATGTTGGTCATTCTGGTGGTACTTAGGGAGACAAATATATTTAGTGGTTTGAGAAATGTTTGATCGCTCTGTATGGATTCCGCATGTTCTCTATACATAGAAGGTTGACTGAATACTGAAAACAATTTTCAGACCACAAACCAACCATGTTTGGCCCATGACTAGATGTCAGTATAATGTATTCTGACCCTCACAGTTAGCTTTTGGCCCTTCAATGACATGGCAGGGGGCAACTCATGAAAGTTTGAACTATGACCAGAGGTATGGATGTGAGCATGAATGTTTGTTTGTCTCTATACTGTACTGTATGTTGCCCTGCTATGGACTGGTGAACTGTCCAGCGTGTACTGATAACAGGTGTAAACACCTGGTTCAGAAGAAGCAACTTACTGAGAACGGTTTTATACTGCAGCAAGTATAAAAAAAATAAAAAATAGACAAAATGACCGGGGTAAAGTGATCTACCTACATTAAAAGCTATAAATATATATTTACTACTTTGATTAAATTGCTGTAGTTGTATGGCACAATACCGTCTGACTCAATGCTTCTATGGTCCTGACTTTAGACCTAGTGATGAGCATCTTAAAATAGAATCAAATCTATCATTTTTTTTTCTTTTTTTTTGTTTCTTTAAATATAATTGCTCAGGATCTACCAG